AGGAAGTACCTTGGTGTATGCTTTTTGTTGATGATATTCTTCTCGTGGATAAAACGAGAGAAAAAGCCCAGGAAAAACTTGAATTATGGAGGTCTACATTGGAGTCTAAAGGCCTTCGTTTAAGTAGAACTAAAACTGAATACATGGAATGTAATTTTAGTAGTAATAGCTCTAGTGACAGAAGTGTGACTTTGGGTGATCAAATTATTAAAAGGTGTGAACGATTTAGATATCTTGGGTCCGTTGTCCAAAGCGATGGTGATATAGATGGGGATGTTAATAGTAGAATTCAAGTTGGTTGGTTGAAGTGAAGGAATGCTTCGGGTTTTTTGTGTGATAGAAAAGTACCGCTAAGACTGAAAGGAAAATTTTATAAGATGGTGGTGAGACCTGCAATGCTCTATGGCGCTGAATGTTGGCCTTTAAAAGAGAAGCATAATAATAAGTTAAGTGTTGCCGAGATGAGAATGATTAGGTGGATGAGTGGCTTTACACTTAGAGACAAAATGTGGAATGAATATATTCGTGATAGGGTTGGTGTAGCTCCTGTGACAGACAAAATTAGAGAAAGTCGTCTTAGATGGTTTGGTCATATTAAACGTCGACCATTAGATGATCCGATTAGGAGAGTAGATGCTTTAAATTCGACTTGTGTTAAGAAAGGCAGAGGTAGACCTAGGAAGACTTGGGCTTATTGTATTAAAAATGATCTTAATTTACTAGAACTAAATGAAAATATGACACTAAATAGGACGCAATGGAGAAAAAGGATTCATGTAGCCGACCCCACGTAGTGGGATTAAGGCTTTGTTGTTGTTGTTGTTGTTGTATGCATTAACTATGACTGCGTATGACATTTATTCCTGCAATGTTCAAATTTTTTTAAGATATAGAAGCAATTTTGTCGAAGCATATGTGAGTTAGTATGTCATGCTAGCATACATGTGCATATATTCATTCCCTAAGTTTACTATGGTGAAACTCAACAATTAGAGTACTTAAATTTGCTTCTGTTGTCCCCATGGATGAACAATTATTGGAACATTCAACGACTATTTGTGCGTTGCTTTTGTATTCCTTGGTTTCCAATTGAGACATTTTTACAAGTTTGGCAGGGTTTCAGTTGCACTGTTGTGCTATGCCATATCTTTTCTGGAACCTAAGTATTATATGAACGGGATCTTAATTTGGCTTTGATATGATTGCTCGATGGTACTTCTTATGCTGTGGTTTCCTTCTGCAGATTGTTTCCAAAGATTTATCAGAGCCAGTTAGATCACACAAAGATCTGGATAAAGATGCTGCTCCTCATTACCATAAGGCTGTTAAATTTTATGACAATCTGTCCAAGCAGCTCGTTAATCAGGGCCATGTTTTAGATCTATTTGCTTCTGCACTTGATCAGGTTTATTTCATTTTCATTCGTAAACTATGTTGCTTATATCTTTCTAGAGGAAAGAGTTTATGTTTTAACGTTTAAAATTATTTCTGGTTTTTTTTTTTTTGGACAATTTATTGCTACCTATTTACAAACAGAACCCACAAAAAATCTCCAGTAACGCAGAGATATTTTTTAGGGGTGGGTCCAAGGGCATCTTCAGAGTAATATCTTTTCTGCTGCTTGTCTCATCTTTCACGATAGTGAATAAGATTAGAAATGAAATTGTAGGGAAAGTTCTTTACTTGCTCTTTTGTTTGTAACTAGATAGGTAACTTCTTTGCACCTTTTTTTATTAATAATTTCTGAGGTGAATTCTGAAGTTATATTGGAAATCAAGTCCATGTGTTCCAAAACTCTGTTCCTTTCAAAACAATTTCTGTTCAGGTTGGCATTGCGGAGATGAAAGTTGCTATTGAAAGGACTGGTGGACTTGTTGTCCTTGCTGAAAGCTTTGGGCATCCAGTGTTTAAGGATTCTTTTAAAAGAATATTTGAAAGTGGTGAACAGTCTCTTGGCCTCTCTTTCAAGTGAGTTTTATTGCATTTTCATCGGTTTAATTTAAGTTAATGCCCTAATTTCTCTAACATTTAAAGAGGCAGCCAAACATGAAAATGTAAATCCATTTTCATGCAATCTGATGCTCTGATCATCCTTTGCCATCATTATTTGTTTGCATAGCTACTCTTTTTGAACAATTTGTCATGCAAATTATCTGTTGCTTCCTCAGAAGTTTTGTCTTATAGGTGCAAACTTCCATCCATCTCACATGTATTTTAAGGCTTTTTCATGTGGCCTTGGGGAAATCATAACCATATATCTGTAAAAAATGAATATGGTAAGCATAAAAATAAGCTCCAGCAGCTACTGGAACATTGAGGAAAATAAGTTTGATAAAAAGCGTTGCTCATAATCCTTAGTTGGTGAACCTCCTCTTTAGGAAGCTTGTAGGAAAATTCTATAGCTGTACAATAGATATAATTTCTTCTATTTAATTTTTTTAAACTCTGAAGTTATTTACGGATCTCCTGCACTCTTATGGTTTTAACATTGGATGTTTAGTTCCCTTAATATTATTTCGTGAGCAGTATTGTTGAGTATTTTATTGTGATGTTGTAACTAAAGTATGCCTTTAGTACCTATTATCATGCTTTTTAATAGCATAGTTGTGACATTCATTACTGCATCCGATGAATGTTTAAACTTTTGTGGCATGAATGCCAGTTCTTTATGTCTGCGATTTGTTTTGGAGGTCTTAGATATTCTTTAAGTATGACTGCGAATGGGAAAACCTTCCTAACTACACTGTTTGGCATGTCAGGTTTCTCTGTTTACGCTCTTTATCGTCTGTAGTGTAATCACAATGAAGCCTTTTGTTAACTGTAGCTACCCTTGTACTTGTAGCCGGCTACTTCTGCTTGAACTCTATTGCAGCATTATAAATTATTCAATTGGTTTAAGTCTGCTGCTACTGTCATGCAAAAGATAAGATGTCACTGATATGTCTCATATTACCATGAAACATAGACATCGGAGTGAGATACATATACAAGACATGCATAAGTTCAAGCATGTCAATGCTGTCTATTTTAATTAATGTATTCCCATCAATGTATTACAACTCTTTTCTTGAGTAGATTTGGTTCCTAAATAGAAGGCTTAGTTTGGTGTGCTCAAATATTCAATCTTCACACCTTCAAGGAGTTATCTTGATCTTGATCCATTTGAGTAAATGGATGAAACAATAATCATCCTAGTTTCTTTCTCAACAAGTTGAGGAATATGGCTATGCTAATAATTTAATTCTTAAGCTTTACCGTTAGAGGAAATTAATATTATAAATCATTCACAAGCTTTTTTATTCATATTGCCTTTTAATTTTTCGAGCAATGATTAACAAGTCTGCAGCAAACTTCAAATGTACCATTGCTCTTTCATGAATATTTGGAAGTCTTTGTAGACTTACGTTTCTCATTTTGAATATCTCCATGTTCATATTGCTAAGCATGCTTACAGTACCTAAAAAATGAATATATGTAATAATTGAAACTTCAACTTTTAATAATTAATAATTTATACCACAAGAATAATTGAAGATTACCTTGGATTCATCTGAGTGGGATAAGCAATGAAGGGAAGTGCTGCTTTTGTTCCATTTTTAACAAATAGTTATAGACCGTTTGCATAAAAGATGGATATAATTATCTACCTTTCCGCAATATTGAGATATTATCTCTTTCATCTATTCAATCATATCATCCCACACATGCCTTGTATAAGGATGTGACAAGGCTTGTCTCGAATCTACTGCTTTAGATATCTCATATGTTGGCTTTGTAGATTAAATGCTATAATTATTTTGTCTCACCATATATTATCCAATATCCTCTCCTTCACAAATTTGACCTTATTCACATCATTTTCTTGATACCTTTTTTACCTGTCCATAATTACGATTGTTTGTACTTCATATCTAGTTTTGAATCTCTTAACCATGATGATTGTAAAGTAAGTTTTTGCTGTAGCTACCATTTTTAGTTTAACAAATTCATTGAAAACTGGACGTCTCATATAATGTTTTAAAAGGTGGGTGTTTTAGCTATTATGGGGTGAGGAGTAAGTCCCAAAATTGTTGGGACTTATTCACATCATTTTCTTGATACCTTTTTTACCTGTCCATAATTACGATTGTTTGTACTTCATATCTAGTTTTGAATCTCTTAACCATGATGATTGTAAAGTAAGTTTTTGCTGTAGCTACCATTTTTAGTTTAACAAATTCATTGAAAACTGGACGTCTCATATAATGTTTTAAAAGGTGGGTGTTTTAGCTATTATGGGGTGAGGAGTAAGTCCTAAAATTGTTGGGTGTAAGCCCCATGGTTTTAAAAGAATTATAATACATAACTGATAAGAGATAAAAAATAAGAACTTATATTCATTAAATTTTAAAACAAATCTTCTTGGACTAAAATCTTCAAGATATTGACATTAATCCACAACAAAAGTAAATAAACATATTTGATCCAAAAATAAATTGGTTGTGCTCAATTGATCTCAATCATTGAATATTATTCATTCTTTAAGGTCATCCTTAAAATCTTCTTCTTCACCAATAGTTGTGTCTAAATCACAACTAGGTTATTCATGTTGTCCCCACTTCATTAAAGTCATCACCATACTCAGTTTTAGGTGCATTCACAATTCATTTCTACTTATCATTATTGCCTATATTATAAAAACAAAAAAAATGACATTCGTAAATATTTTAAGATTTTTTTTTCTATCAGAATACATAATTATGTAAATGTCCATTAAAAATAATATGAAAGTTATTGTTTTTTTATTTAGCTTTCTTTTTTGTGGGAATATGCTATAAAAACATCATTTCTTCCCTTGCGTAAGATTTTGTGATTGTTAATTTTCATTAATTTTGGGCACATTTATGGTTACACCAACATCAAATATATATTGTTCTTCATTCACCTAAGAAGGTTTCCATGGAAGCATTGAACATTCATGCTCAACAATCCACTCATCATCAGAGTCTATGTCATTTATTAATATTTGATCAAAGTCTTATTTTTCATCTTATACTTCTCTCCCTCAATTTAGTATTATATTTTACATGCACTAGAGCGTTCAACCTATTGTGCTCCAACCTGTTTTTCTTCTTAGTATGAATATAAGATAAAAAACATCATTTTTAAGAAGTGATATATACAAATAATGACAATTTTAAAAAGTAAAAAAGTTATTACTAATTCAAAAGTGCTCTAATTTTTTTCATAACCTGATGAATTACAAGAGAGACTAAAAATTCGAATAACAAAATTCATTAACTCATGAGTTTTTCCACCAAACAGCTTGTGCTCCAACTTATAAATATAAGCCATGACCGGTATTTTAATCCTCTCTTAGAATATTTAGAAGAGGTCCAACACTTTTGATACAGTAAGCAAGATGACCCAAAAAATATCGATCAAACAAAATAACAACTTGAGTTTTTATACTGTCTGTCTTTTTAGCCTATTGAATAGAACACCAAGCTTCTGAGGAAAATATTGCCTTAAGTAGTTGATTTTGTTTGTAAATGCTTTAAAGAGTTCAATATGCAGTAGCAAGCAGTGTGATGGTTGGAAGAACGAGCTCTCTCCTCATTAAAAGATCTCATCAAGCCAAGAATCCATGTATGCTTTTAAATGAATTTAACAACTTATTTTGCTTTTGCAAGCATGCTTTCCTATATCTTCAACTTTTCAACATTTTCTAACATGAGATCAATATAATGCGATGCACAAGGTGTCCAATAGATATGTTTTCTTTTATCCATCACTTTTTTACCCACATTTACATAATTCGACCTATTATTTGTTATATTTTGCATCATATTTTTCTCACTGACTTTCTCAATGACGTAATACAGAAAAGTGAATAATAACTCATCACTATTTATAACATTAGAAACATCCACATATTTAAGAATAATGTCTCAACTAGAGTTGTAACAAGAAAATTAATTAAAGTCATTCTTTTTTCTATCTATCCAACTATTTGACATAATTGAACACCTATATTTACTTCATGCCTTATGCTTCTCTAACATCTTATTGATTGTAACAACTTTATCTTTGAGTATCAAAGTTCTTAATTCATTCATTGTAGGTGGAGTAAAACTATGTCTAAAGTTAGGAACTGCTTAGTTCCTTCAAACATAAACATATAATATGAATAATTGACAACATTAATGTCAATTCGGTTGACTAGCAAAATCTATCAATTGCCTTACATGCTTCTTTTTTCATCTTTCTTTTACTTGGCATTTTTAGTAGAATTCCTAGCTTATGTTATGGTGAAAGAATGTATTGGACCTCTAACTTTGTGTCCTCTCAGAGGAATTCAATAATTATGAATTAGTGACATTTTGACCTTCATAACTACTTGTTGCACCACTTATAATGTCACTTAATACACTGTAATGTTGAACTTTGACTTTGCATCTTCTTTTAATGCTTTCTTGCATTTCTTTTGAACTTCAGTGGGGCTTTAGTGCATTGTTTAATGCCCTTATGTGCGCCGACAAACTCTTTCTTCATTTTGTTTATTGTTCCACTACACACTTGATTGCAAAACTTACATCTAAAATATTTTTCATTAGGTGTGCTTATTGTATGTTGCCATGCAAAGTTCTTAACAGTGTGGCTACTACCGGTCACACAATCCAACCCTTCAAGTAGAAATTAATTATTAACATTGCACATCAAAATTTTAAAAAAATAGTGTAAATTATTGTCAAAATATGCCATCAAAATGACCCTAGGGGGTGTTTGGTAGCACCTCTGAATAGGATTTAGCATTTGATTTACAAATGCAGTCAGACACAATACGAATTTATTAATTTTTCGGATTTGTAGTCCGAAATTTTGCCTTCGATTCGGCTTAAATCCAAATTTACTATATTCACGGGAAGGGTGGATTTAACAAATTTATGATTTACAGATTTACTAAATTCTACTTGTAGCCAACCCCC